GCCGCCCGGCCCCGGGGGGAGGTTGGCGGCCGCACACCCAGCGCAGGCCCGGAGGCGGAGGAGTGGGGCGTGGCTGGACGCGGGCGGGAGGACGGTCTGGGAGCCGACCAAGGATGCTCCGAGGAGGATCCGGGCCCCGGGCTGAGCGCAGGACCCAAGCTTGGCCCGGAGGGGCACGCCTGTCCGGCGGCCGAGGCGCGGCGCCAGCAGGGGGAGGCACAGAAGGAAGCAGCGGCAGCGCCTGTGCCCCGCCAGACTGGCGACAGGGAGGGCGACTTTCCCGCCGCAGACCTGGACTCGCTCTGGGACAGCTTCTCCCGCCTGGTCGACGGCGATCCAGAGATGCTGGCTTTCCTCACCTCCGGGACAGGGTCGCAGGCAGAGGCGCAGCGCCAGGTGGAGGTGGTTCTCAGAACCGTCATCCCGAAAGCGAGCCCGCATTGTTCGTTTACACTTCCGAGGAGGGAAATGGTCGTGCAAGGTAAGAGCGGAGGAATGAGTTTAGTGGTGGAAGCACACGGTTAGGTTACGAGGCAGTCGTTAAACGGCTAGTCGGCGAAAAGGCGCTAAGGACTCCTATCGTGCCGATTCCTGTAGGATGTACTAGGGAGGTCGGTTTTCGTCCAAAGGATTTCCTCATCTTGAGCAGAGTTTCTCAGCCAAGGAATATTTTGCTTCCTTGTTAGTACAGAGGGTGGGATACTCGATTAGGGAGATGTCAGAGAGGTGAAGGATGACCCGGATGTTGACTGAGAAGCAGGAGTTGAGTAGGTAAAGAGGTAAGTGACAAGGAAGCTGTGTAGGAGACAGGTATGTGGAACAGAATGGATGGGTGGGACCCTGCCAGCCCTCAGGCATTTATTTGACTGTCAGTGACAGCGGCAGGACACATCAACCTCAGCTACTCCTTCAAACCTGTTTCAGCAGTGTGTTTTTTCCTATTACTGTTGTAACAGATTACTACAAACTTAATGAACAAAACAGGACCTGCTGAGCCCCTCTTATAGCTCTGGAGGCCAGAAATTCTGGTTGACCCTCCTGGGTTCTTTGCTGTCTCTGAGTCCCTTTCACAAGGCTGAAATCAAAGAGCTGCCACCTGGGCTCTTGTTTGAAGGCCTGGGAGAGAACCCACTTCCAAGCTCATGTAGGGTGTTGGCAGAATCCAGTTCCCTGTGGTCCTAGGACTGGGGTTTCATTTTCTTGCCACTGTCAGTTTCTCTCTGCTTCTTTGGCATGACAGCTGCCTGTAGTTCAGAGCTGGCAGTGGGGATTCTGTTTGGAAATTCTCTGACTCCTCTTGTGCTGCATAGCTCTTCTGCCTCCAGCTGGTGGAGAAAATTCTCTGCTCGTCCAGGCCCATGAGTTTATATTGGGCCCACCTGGATATTCCCGAGCACTTTCCTTCCTTTAAGGTCTGTAACTTTAATTACATCTGCAAAGTAATTTTTGCCATGCAATGTAACACACTTATGCTTCCTGGGTATGAGGGCGCAGACTTCTGTGGGAGACCACAAGTAGCCATGTCATAGGCTGGCAGGTGCATAGATATCACCCTCTGACACATCCTCTGTCTTTGTCAGACTTTCTAGGAGACCTCACGAATCCTGGTCTAGGGGTTCTTCCAGCTTTAACCAACTGTACTATAATCTTAACCATTTTACATTTCCTCTCTGCCAGACTGAGAGTCATCACACGTAAACTTCACTGGAGGTGGCGAGACTGAACTTTCTTATAAGGAAAAATTGTTCTCTCTCAATAAGTAGTACTATTTTTAGGATTGATTTTTACATGAACTCCTGCCAGAAAGGTCCTCAGAGTATTAAAAAAGAAGTTACTGCCAGAGGGTGCATGTACTCGCCAGAGAGAGTGAGCGAGAGAGCACCCCGCAGTGGGGCTTGGTCATGTCACAGTCCCTTTTCCTCCATTTTGTCTTCCTGTCAGGATTTTTGGGCATGCACATGTGCCTGGCATGATTTTCCAAGCATCTGGGCCAGGATTTAACTGCAGTTGGCTATGTGGGATCCAGTTCCCAATGCATGACACTTAGCCACTGTGCTATGGGCCAGCCCTCCCCAGAGTATATTTTCCGTGAAATATATGGCCTGGGTTTTAATTCTGGCTTTGCCACTTAGCTGTGTGGCACTGTGCAGGTTGAATAGCTTGAATAGCTTCTCTCTGCCTCAGTTTCTTTTCTTTTTTTTTTTTTAAAGGTTTTTGCTATAGGGTGCGTGCACTCACTAGAAAGACAGAGAGACAGAGAGACAGAAAGTGAGAAATCACCCCCCAGGGGGGATGGCCACGCCACAATCCCTTCTCCTCCATTCTCCTCTCGGGATCTTGGGCACATATGCACACACACCTGGCATGACGTTAAGCCACCGGGTCCAGGACACGAACTGCAGTCAACTACATGTCCAGCGACATAGTCATTTCGCTAACTGCTGGTCCCGGTTTCTTCATTTGTAAAGTGAGGGTAGTAAAATATCTTAAGAGTGTCAGGAAAGGTTAAATTATACTTCTAGTGTGCTCAGAATAGTTTCTGGCAAGTAGGTAGGTGCTTAAGCCTAAGTTTTCGAAGAGCAGGTTTGTTTCCTAGGTCTTTGTGTACCTCTTGGCCCTGTTCTGGGTAAGCTCACAAAGGGCCTCAGAGGGATATGACTCAAATATTAACTCTTAGTAGCAGACAAGTGGTTAGGAACTTGGCCTCTTCAGTGAGGCAGATCAGGGTTCAACTCAAGGCGTGTGTTTGTGAGACAAATGACCTAGCCTCCTTAATGCCGTGATTTCCTCATCTTGAGCAGAGCTGCTCAGCCATGAGCGAGTTCATCACTGCTCGGAGGCCGTTTGGGCTGCAGGTTTGTGGGGGGTGAGTTGCTGTCACTGGCATCTAGAGGGCAGAGGCTGGAGATGCTGCTAAACACCGTGCAGTGCGAGGGCACTCCCAGCAGCGACATGTTATCCAGCCCCAACTACAGGGTGCTGAGGGTGAGAGGCCTTGATTTAGAAGGTGATGGAAATACACATTCTCTAAAGTTGTCAGTGTTAAATGAGATGCATCATTTGGTAGCAGTCTGCTTCTTAGACTCTCATCGCCCTCACAGGGAAAGCTGTCCTAACTGCAAGGTCCTGTGTGAGCTGGGCCTTTGGTTTTACTTCCTGCCACTTGTCACCCTGTCCACACCACTCACCTCTGTTCCCCGTACAGCCCAAGCACACCTCTGCCCTGGGGCCTTTGCAGTTGCTGCTCCTCTGTCTGAAATGCTCTTCCAAGCACCCCACAGCTCTTTCCGTGACCGCCTTCAGCTCTGTCCAGATATCACGTCCCTGGAGAGGTCACCTGACCACCCTGTATTCAGTAGCAGCACCTCCCACTCCTGCCTCCTCACCCTGCTCTGTTTCATCTAGTATTTTAGGGCATTTATATTTATATTATTATTTATTATATTATACATTTATATTTATATTATTGAGTGTCAAACATAAAAGAAAACTATCTTCAATTCTGTTTAGTTGGCTTTTACGGCCAGCTTTTCTTCACTTAAGCTTTTCACTGATAAGCAATGAGGATCTTATTAATGTTTGTTCCCAGCTTTTCCCTCCCCTCACCCTGCCTCCTGAACGAACGTTTATCTTTGCTCATCCACGCTCCCTCTCCTCATCCTCTAAAGATTCTTCAGGATGTTTTTCAGTTGGAATCATAAAGTCCTTGGGGGATGTGGGAGAAGAAGTGGCAGGGGGGCAGCGGCAGGGACTGAGAGAGACCATAAAGCCAGCCAGCCAGCCGATGGTGATCAAATGCTTTTCAGGATGGAAAAAGAGGAAAGGCCTCTCTGGGGAAGTGTAGATGCGCTACGTAAATCGGATCTAGTTTAGGTTTTCTTCTTCGGAGGTTGAAGTAAAAATGCAGTGGGCTTTTTTTCTTTTCTCCTCTCCCTGCACCGCCCGCCCGCCTCTGTTGCCGCTGAGCTCAGCGTTAGCCGCGTAGCTGCCACCCTGTTGTTTCCATCCCTGTCCAGTCGGCCCCTTGGCTCTCTACTTCCTTTTGGCAGATCTTACCCTTTTGCCATTTCTAGAAGGTGGTTTCACGTTCACAAAGTGAGGTATCTTTACCAGTGATTTGCTATTTTTAAAATGTGCCAGAGAGCACATGGACTTGCTTAAGAGAGACGGGGAAATAGAGCGAGGGAGAAAGCACCTCACAACGGGGAGGGCTGCTATCCGTTTCTCCATCCTGTTGGTGTTGTGGACGAGCATGCACACATGCCTGACATTTCCCAGTGGCCAGGGCTGGATTCAGACTATAGTCAACCATTTGAGATCTGGTTCCCTAACCCATTAGGCCATGGGGCTAACCCTTGCTATTTTTTTTTTAAATTATATTAAAGGTAAATGCAATTGATTTTAGAGGTAGAATTTGTAAATCAAACCTTAAGTATCCATATAAATTGATATAATGCCATAAATTCAGTTTAGGAATAGTAATATGCTGCTCTGCCTTTTTTTTTTTTTTTTTAATTTACTATAGG